ACTGGGGAGCCCAGAACTGGACACAGGACTCCAGATGGGGCCTCCCCAGGGCAGAGCAGAGGGGGAGGAGAACCTCCCTCGCCCTGCTGGCCACACTCCTCTTGATGCACCCCAGGATCCCACTGGCCTTCTTGGCACCCAGGGCACACTGCTGGCTCATGGTCAACTTGTCACCTATTAAATTTTCATGTTCCATCATTTTTGGCCATAGCTGTAGGCTGTTTAATATTCATGTGGTTATTTTGAATCATCTTTCTGAGGCCCCCAGCAGTGTCAATAACCCTGTTCTGTAGGGTCAGTGTGAGCCCAAACTCTTTGAATTCAATGGAGAACTGTCCATAAGTTTTCAGTCCCCATTTAGCAAAAAATAGAGGTGCCACATGGGCTCAGACTAAAGGTCTCAGCTTGTGTTCAGCCAGCGATCGGGACCGTAGGGACCTGCTGACCACACGCCACGTCCAGACCACCTTGGCCACTGCTGGACTTGCTTATGCCCTCTTTGAACTCACGTGTGCTTTCTTTCGACAACGTCCTGTGGCTTGGACTTCCCTAGAAGAATATGTGCTTTACATATTCGGCAGAAATTTGCTTTCCATCGCTGTTTAAGCCAGACTGTCTCCTGGCAGATGTCTCCATGGAGCATCAGTGCTAGGTGGGTGGGCAGGAAAGGGCAGGGTTATTATTTCATGTCTAATTATCTCCTATCAGAGTTCTTAACAGCAAAAAAAACCCCAAACTGCCCTGTCCGTTGGCCACTCTCCCACCTTGCTTTCCAGCACCTCTGCTTTTGCTTGTGCCCAGAGATGCTGTGAGCCTGTTTGGAGCTGTTGGGTGCCTCTGGCTCCTTGGGACACCCATCAGCGGCTCGTTGGGCGTGAGTGATGGGTGGGGTGGGGATCACCTCACCAACCTCTGGAGGCTGATTAGCGCATTGAAAGATGGGGGTGCTAACGGGCTTGCTACCTTTGTCCAGACAGCCAAGCTGGAAGCACTCTTTAAACAAATCTGTTGATAATGGCTGCTCTAAAGCACTCCACTGACAAAGTAAATAGCAATTAGTACGATTAGGGGTTGACCCATAGCCTTGGTTAGCCTTGTTTACCCTTGTAGAAACACCCCTGGGCAATTTTCTCTCCTTAACGGAAAGGTCAGGGCTGCTTTGGTAAGTTTGAAGACTGATGTTTAACATCTAAATTTAAAAATACAGATATTGCCTGGTAGTCCTCCAGCACCTGGAGGCTCTCACTGAGATCAGTTCCTCCCTGGTCTGGGTGTGGGGAGAAACAGGGCAACAAACTCTGTTTTGGGAACTCTAAAGTAAGTTCTTTCAGCCCTTTTCAGCCAAAATACACTGTTTTCCTCTCATTTTCAAAGGGACACTGGTGGTTCCCTGCGGCAGGGCACAGTCTTGGTAACGCTTGCTGCAAGCCACTGTTTGGGGACGGCTGCTGGAGACACACAGGGGCAAGGGAGAGATTCCAGTCCAGTTAATTTTGTGCAAACCAGTTGATTTTCTCTTCATGCTCCTCCTTAACAAAAGCTCTGCAGCCTCTCTCCTGCTCCAAAGCCGTGCGTCACTCGCACGGTCCTCCAGCCCATGATCCACCTGCAGGAGAGGTGCTTGGGAGTGACCGTGTCTCACTCAGGAGTACCTTACTCAGGGTTTGCTCAAAGTCGTGTGTGAGAAGAACACTTCCTTATCTTTGTACCCCAGGGTCACTTATCTTTGTACTTGTCACTTATCTTTGCACCCCGGCTTCAGATCCAGACGCGTGATTCTAGCCTTTATAATCCCGTCAAAGCTTCTTTGCTGTTGTCACTTGAGAGGACTTCTGTCTTCGTCTGTCCACGTGCCAGACACTTCCGAAATGCCACCGATTCGTGATGCTCTTACCACAGAGCTCTTTCTTTTCGCCTTTCTGTCGCACTCAGGCTTTGCACCCAAGTGGCTGCGTGCGTTACGGCTGGCTTAACGCGGGCGCTGGTCCTGGTCGAAGCTTACAGAATCACAGAATCACGGAATCGTAGGGGTTGCAAGGGACCTCTGTGGGTCATCTAGTCCAACCCCCCTGCCGAACCTGGGTCACCCAGACAGGATCTTGTCCAGGTGGGTCTTGAATATCTCCAGAGAAGGAGACTCCACAACCTCCCTGGGCAGCCTGTTCCAGTGCTCCGTCACCCTCAGAGGGAAGAAGTTCCTCCTCATGTTCAGACGGAACTTCCTGTGCTTCAGTTTGTGCCCATTGCCCCTTGTCCTGTCACTGGGCACCACTGAAAAGAGCTTGGCCTCATCCTCCTGACACCCACCCTTCAGATATTTGTAGGCATTTATAAGGTCCCCTCGCAGCCTTCTCTTCTTCAGGCTGAACAAGCCCAGTTCCCTCAACCTCTCCTCGTAGGGGAGATGCTCCAGTCCCCTCACCATCCTTGTAGCCCTCCGCTGGACTCTCTCCAGTAGCTCTTCATCTTTCTTGAACTGGGGAGCCCAGAACTGGACACAGTACTCCAGATGAGGCCTCACCAGGGCAGTGTAGAGGGGAAGGAGAACCTCCCTTGTCCTGCTGGCCACACTCTTCTTGATGCACCCCAGGATCAGGATACATCGGTGGTTAGCTCATCCAGGAGAGATCACCCCAGAGGACAAACTGTTTTATTGCTGTAATTCAGAAGATCTTTGCTGTTCTGGTTATCAACGTGAACAGACAAAGATCTGTATGTGCAAAAATTCAAAGTTTGTTGAAAACTGGTCTCTAAATTGTTGTCTCCATCAGGAGGCACTGAGGACCGTCATGGGTCTTGCTGAGCATCCACAAGCTTAATGAAACCTAGCAGTAAAATTTGCTTTGTGCTGGGGGGCATCATAACTTCTTGTATTGATATGAGTTTTGCTAAATGCGCCTGTGCTCTGTGCAAGACTTATTGAAACTAATTTGATCTGTCAAGCAAATGTGGGCATACACATTTGTTTGTCTTCAGAAAATCATCATTTTCGCTAATAGAAAGGCCTCATTCAGCTTTGCAAGCGAATACTTTTCCTCCTCGCCACCCCCAAATGACACTCTGTGGGGATAAAAATATCTGGGCGCTGATTTTGCCTGCCTAGATTCTACTTAGAGCTTCGTCCCTACGGTTTCGTTTTCCATCAAGTATCTTTAGGTGCCTGGAAGCCTGTGAGTAAGAGCAGGGGTAGGGAGTGGGGAAAGGTTTGACCACGCGGCTGGAAGCGGTGGCAGGAGAAGGAAGCATCCACCTGACGTGGAGAGCATCCCTGTCCACAGCCGAGGGATTCACCGTCCGGGTGCCGACTCGCAGACCTTGGAAAGTGGCTGCAGAGGGACACAGTCAGAGGTGAAACCGCATTTTGGAAAAAAAACTTGGAGCATTTGGTGAAAAGTTTAACTTTTTTAATTTGGCAGAGTTTTAGTTAGACTAGGGCGTTTTTAATGGGAGTCATATCAAGGCATGCATTATCAATTTATTTATAGAAATGCTTACAGTGTCTATAAATGAGAAAGAGGAGAGTGACGGCTTATTATTTGAAGGTTGGAGATTTGGAATCAGAAGTGGCAATCTGGATCCTCCGCGTAGTCATTTGCATTTGGGGTTGTGGCGAAGGAGGAGAGCGATTCTCCCTGCCTGGCGCTCAGGTCCGGGTGGGAGCGGGTGACGGTGCTGCCCTTGGGTGGGAGCTGCTCCACCCCGGGAGCAAGCTACGTGCTCCCAGCAGCGGTTTTCGGATTCGGATCCGTAGAAAACCCGCTCCCTCGTTTTCATCTCGCTGTTGGAAAAGTTTATTTTAAGTGGCCAGTTCCTGGTCGTCGTCTTTCCACTTGGATCCAGGTCTTTCCTCTCTCTCAGCCATCTCTCCATCTGCATGTTTTAACTCCCCCAGCTGCCTCTCTCGTCTCTTGTGCCATTTTTTTTCAGCTCTCTTGGCTTCTCTCGTCTCTTTGCCTGCTGTGTATTTTAACTCCCAGGGCTGCCTTCTCTGCTCTCCAAGTAATTCAATGTTACCTCCCACTGCCGAGCTCCGCAGCGCGCCATTCTTTCCCCATGTTTCATGCATTTCCTGCTGCTTGGACGCTCTGTTGAAGCAGCGAACATATAGAATCGATGTTTATTTTGAGACTGCATATGCCATGCGGGGAACACGGTGTCAGTTATTTTGTGCAGATGTATTCTCCTCGAAGTTTTATAAATAATATCTGTGCTGGCAACTTTAATACGGAAAAATATTGGTTTCGCATCGTGTATGAGACGAAGACAACTCGTCTATGGGATGTAGCTGACTTTGGAGCAGACAATGGAAACTTCGTTAGTACCTCCATGTCATGGATGGGTGGGGACAACCACATCCACTGCAAGAAGCTGGACTTCTAGTGCATTTTTTCTGTGCATTTGCCTTGATTCAGACACTTCTGTGAATCCTTTTGTCTGGTAGTTACGATGAGATTTGGTGAATGGTGCAGGTGTCTCCCGGAAAGGACCAGTCACACAGCCATCATCCAAGACTTCTCCAGTAGTCTCTGCCCAGCTCCCACCTCCTTGCAGAGTTGA